ATTAGCTTCAGGAAATTTACATCCTTCTCTTATCCTATAGTTAAATTTAATACTCACCCTCTTTTTCAAACGAGTTATGATGCCCTTATCCTGGTCCCAAATATTTATCTTAACTTTGGTATAGTCAAAAACAATCCAACAGCACAAAGTGAGTTTTTAAATATCACCAATGAAGAGTGGTCAAACTGGGTACATATATTCACAGACGCCTCTAGGATCTGTCCTGATGGCAATGTAGGAGCAGCGGTTTGGATCCCCAAATTTAATGTCGTATTAAGTTTTAAATGCCTCTGTAGCTCTGTAGCTATCTCGGAAGCCATTACTTTTATACTCTCCCACAGGATTTACAAATCCATTATATTCACAGACTCCAAAAGCTGCCTGGAAGCTCTCTTGAGCAATATGTTCAAGTCCAAAACTGTATCCCCTATCATCTTAGACATTAAAAAAACACTGTTAGAATGTCATTCACAAAATATTGATATTGCGCTAGCATGGATTCCTGGTCATAGTGATATTCGAGACAACGAAATCGCAGACACTTGGGCGAAAGACGCTACACTATCAGGTAACCCTTCACGTCTTCAAAATTACTCTGCAGATGTCCTCCAATTAGCTAAAACCGACCTTCAATCCGAATGGAGTAAAAGATGGAGTCGTAACTCCAAAATTATAGGCCGCCATTATGGCAGCCTTCAGGAAATAATACCCAGAAAACCTTGGTTTGCTAAATTCCGCGACTTTCCCAGGCGGGTGATTACAACTATTAGCCGTCTTCGTCTCGGCCACGTTACCTCGCCAGTCTTTCTTTCCAAATTACGTATACTAGACAGCTCCATTTGTGAGTGCGGACTCGAGGAAGGCACTGTAGACCACATTTTTTTCAACTGTCAAAAACACCCATCTCTATATTCTCTACTTCCACCCAAAACTGTACGTCCCGTTAACATTAATAGCTTCATTGACATTGACCGACAAACCTGGCTTTTTGTGTTTATGTAAATTCATTAAAAAATACAATATTAAACTCTAACTTTTATTAACCCTTCTATTTTTATTTGGATGTAAATGTCGGCTCTACCCATGTCATATAAATTAATATTGTTTAACCTGTGACGTCTTTGTGTTTGTTTGTTATGTTGTGCTTTCAGAAAAGTGAAATACTCAAGGAAGAACGTATAATCGGTTATTTAACGGTTTCTACCGAGCAGTCTTTCTCGTGTCTCTCTCACTACCTACTGGACATTGGCGAAATTTCTGTGCAAAACGGAGAACGCCACAGAAAGAAAAAAAAAATCTATTCACAATAACATTACGGGTGTTATCTAAAAACTATTGATAGCGAAGCTACCCACCTCTTGCAACAATAACTATATACAATGATAACACTAAAGCAGCGAGCAGAAAAAAACAAGCGAAGACATATCCAAGCAGATGATGTTAAAGAAGACGAAAGAGCTATACAAAAGTTTGAAATCACGTAGTAAAAACTCACTTTTTGGCCGCTTTTACACAACGCTTAGACCGAGTTTGCGTCGGCATCGGTTGGGATACCTCCGGGTCAACTGCGAGCCTGCTGGTCGCCGGAACGTCCACAATCTCTGTACAAGGAAACTGGTTTATAGCCGCAGTGAGTTCATCGTTGCAGGAAATCCGCAGTCGGTTGCCATCCGGTGTCTTAATGCAAACATTGCCATCCATGGTCCACACACTGGATATGCCAAAATGGTTTCATGCAGAGTAGAACAAGGCTTGACGAGTCTTAGTTAGAAATTCCCTCAAGACAAGCGAAGAGCCTTTGAGTTTGGACTTGCTTTTCCAGACAGAGGACCTAAGAGCATAATTGGATAAACGGAAGACCACAGGCCTGTTGCGACCCTCAGTTAAAGATCCAAGTCGATGACACAGTTTTATAGAACTTGGATCAAGGTCTGTGGCACCCAAATGTTTCTTGAGCAATGTTGTTATAGTATAACTTAAGTCTTCATCGGGATTTTCAGGAACACCACAAAGAAGCAGATGTTTGCTGCGATGCCTTGCTTCGTGCTGGTCGAGTGATCTCAATATATCACTGATTTGCTGCCTCAGTAGTGACAGGATACTCCAAACCAATTCCTTAAAGGCCTTAAACTCTTCATGTATCTGCGGAACCTTTTCCTTTTCTGAAGGCATCTTCAGCTGGGCTTCGAATTGCTGCATTCTTTGTATTAACATGGTCTCCAGTGATTTCTGGGTTTCAAGTACCGCTGCAACACTGCTCATGGTGAAGTATATAATTTCAAATTCGAGAAAACAACTGTGAGTGATGTGATGGCAGGTTAACGCTGGTCAGTTCCTCAAATTGACATCACACAATGCAGCCTACAATGTATGTGGCAACCAGAGGTAAATACTTGCTAATTAACAAGAAATTTATATAATATATTGTGTAATATAATTTTTAAAGTAAATGAACTTAAAGAGTTGATGTTGCTTTATTTTACACCTACCGCCGAAAAAAGTATTTTATTGGTTAGTTTGATTAAAATCCATTTAGTAATTTTTGAGTGAAAGAATTACAAAGATTCATACAACCGTAAGATTGAAATTAAAAGCGCAAGTGGTTAATATACAACTTTAAATCGTTGTAGATCGTAAAAAATCATATAAAATTAAAAATGATGTAAGAAACCTAAACATGATTTTCGATTATCTAGACAGTGATACCCCACTCGACATATTCCGGCAACTTATTTATTTTTCTTTCTCACAATATGGCGCTCAGGGTTTTCCATATTGATTTTCGATTATTATCATATCTTTAGTAGCACTCCCATGATTAAGACGAATCGATTGATGTATAAATCATCCAAATCGGTCTATGCGTTTGGTCTCTAGTGTGCCACAAAGGAACAAACATACATATATAGACTGTTAAACACTATACCCTGTCTGCGCGTCGCGCTTCGCGCTCTTGCATTGCGCAGTCGGGTAAAAACTAAAACCGTAATGCGACATGCTAAAAAATTAACGAATTTTTTTTGGCTATGTAGGTAATAAAAGTTTCACTTTAATAATATAGTGCGATTCAAACTTTATGACGAAAAACAAACAGTAAAGAAAATGTATTATGCGCGGGTATTACCTACACTGAACTGATGCGCAATATGCGCTCGCTGCTAATGCTAACTTCGTAACGGCCATAAGGTTTGAAATGCTGGAACGCTGTATAAAAATTGCTGGTATTTGATATTTTTGGAAGTGAAATCCTGATAACATTATCACCTATTACAGCATTAGGTAATTACTAGTTCAGTTAGTTCTCCAGATAGGTGTACCAATTTGGACGGAGAATCTCCACGCCCCTAGTACCTCCTTTGGGGAGAATATCTTAATGGGTGCTTTTACTCTTATGATAGTATAATGTCTTAATAGAATTTAAATAATAGGAAGAAAAGCCTATGAAATATCGGAATAGTGCACAAACTATAATCGTGGCTGACAGGCCGACGATCGACTTCTTCGATTTAATAGCACGAATTCCATACATTCGCGATTATCACTCGCCAGTAGATTCATGGAGTAATGTTTCACTACATACCTATATTTTTTTGGAAGCATGTTTTAACTTATTTTCACCTTATTTTATCTGACCCCAGTTCATAATATGTGCCTACTAAACTAAGATAATGTTAAGGATAGTTATTATATTATACCATATATTATGTGTTGACAAAAAAGGATAAACAATTAGATGCTGCGATCCGTTAAAACATTTTCATGAATTGTCTGACAGTACGGATTTATTAAAGTGCCGGCATTTTCATTCTCTGGCTGGGAAAGTGATTTTAGTATGGAAATTTTCTGTGTTACTTAAGCGGGTGCGGATTTCATCTGCATGGGTTTTCATCTCAACTCCACAGCGCTCAAAATTAGGACACTCGCTTTACATAACAATATTATATACTCTAAAATGGGTGGCTGATATTTTTAATTTCCTTTAAAACCTATAAACATATAATGTATAAAAGTTAAGTTAATATATAAATTATTAATCTATCTATTTATGAAACTTTAGATACTAAATATGTTCATGATCTAATTCAATAAAGTAGTGACTCTAACAGATCAGATTAACCAAGAAGTTTTATTGTAAGTGATTATTAAGTAGAGCCATTTTGTTCTTGGAAATAGTAAATGAAAATATCGGCATTGCATTTCCAATATCCATTTTAACGGAACTTAGCTGTGTTAAAGGTTTATCGCGGGCTTTGTCGATGCTTTCTGCGATTATTCTCGGGTGTAAAGAGGGTGGATTAGTGGAGCAACTTCTCTCCCGTTTCCGCTGTAAATCTATCGAACCCGACCGATTTTACTTAAGCCCCTCTAACTTTCACTGACACGGAAGGGATAAATGAATTAGCGGAAGATTTGCTATATAATATCGGATAAGATTAATATCCTGAAGAACCTAATTAATCTTTATCTATTAATGATAAAACTTTGAAAGAACCAGTCTAATATTTTCTTGTGAAATGGACGTGATCTTTGCTTATCCAATTTATCTCTACTTTTTATGCTATTGGAAGATTTAATAACTTCCTTAATATTAAGTTAAATCTTAATTGAATTTCATCTTCTCCATAAAAATTAGTATGGTATGTTCTAATATTGATTTTACCCAAATATTCCGGTATTTTCGATAAAGTAGGTATATTTTTACTTTTCATGCTTTTCTAAGAAAATATTATAATAACTCTCTTAAAAATCACATTAGTGGTTGTTATAAAATTATCGATATCTTTAATTTCATAACAGACCGTTACTGTGGTTACATCTATCTTAGATTGTACATTACAATGACCAACAAGAACCAATGATCGTCATTTATTTTGTGATCAATGAAAAAGAGTAGATAAGAAAGAAATTATGATATTAGTTCTTATTGGTCTTTGATGACACTACCTTACCTATACCTATTTAATTAACGTAAGCTTCTCATCAATCATCAATATTTACAGCATTTGGTATCGGCTCCATGATCTATTCGGGTTTGGAGTTCGGCCAGTACTGGGAGCTGGAGAGGAACACCAACTGCCACAATGTGCTGCTTGCGCTGACACCCGCTACCAGAATGGCCTTCATCTTTATCCAGATGTACTTCATATTTCTCAACAATGAGGTTAGTACTAATCACGAAACAAATATAGTACTATTTTCAACATTCATTAGCCATGAATACGAAATGAGTTCTTGGTATTCTTTGAAGTCATATATCAGAATTGTAAACATTTTATATCATTTTTTTGAATCAGAAACACAGATGTATTCAGAAGTAAAACCAGTATTATTTATTTAATTTTGGAGTTTTAAAGGTTACTCCGAAATTAAATAATTTGCATTCAAATGACTATAAGCAAATATGAAAATGGGCTCAACTTGAAATCCTATATTCTCCCATAATAATATTACCATTCTTCACTCAGTATATACAAATTTTCTTTGATTTTATGATTCTGTATTCCTCGATCTGATCAAGTAAATAATCTTCTTTACCACATTAATGCTTCATTAAAATCTGTGCTACTACATTCAAAATTCCTTAAATGGAATTAATTATTCTTCATAATACGAGTATAATACTTCATCTTCCATGTATATGTAGTGGCTAAAGTTAAAATTCTCACATAATTTCCAGATGAAAGTGTACAAACATAAAATAGTAGCGAGGTTTGGCCTGATGCACATGGTGGGGACGAACTTGAGCGTGTGGTTGAATGTGCTGGTGCAAGAGACGAAACACGAAATACTTACCTTCTACGACCCGGAGAACAAGACCATTGGATTATCGCACAGATTAGGTGAGGGTTACTATTATAGGTACTTAGAAGAATACAGATACCTTCTTTAAATTATAGAAATTCCTTATAGATAGCTTCTTATAAAAGTTGGTAAGAGTCAGAGGCTTGCCCAGTTCTAAACGCTATACCCTACTTCTCTAGTAAATTTATCATATCTATCTACCATCATTTACTATATCTTGAAATTGTTTTATTACTTTTTCACATTAGCCGTGTGTTTACCACAAAGCATCAGATGATACTTTTCCTAAGATACAATTAGCCCATTGAAGTGAATTCAGCACCCATCTTGGTAATAATATAGCCCAGGTATCATTTTATACACGTACTTCATTCTCTGTAAATTCCACCTGAGTTGCACTTTAACGAAGCAGGGAGTGAAGATATAAATATAATACGGGATAATGAAATACCCTCTTCATTATACTCTACATAATTAAACGCAGTGAACTGTTGAGTATAATTTCGGATTGCGGGCATGATATCTATTTTTAGTAAACAGTATTATTGTTGCTTTAATAACAATGTAACTTTAACCTATATTATATATTAAGCTCCAATGTTGGAGCTGGCATTATTATGTCACATATCGGTTGCTAGCAATCCCTTTGTACAGTTAAGTGGATTACTTAATGTCAGTGAGCAATGGTTCAACTGGGATATTGTCACTGGGCAGCACTTTGTTCGTTATAGGGTTATCTCTTTGACTCACTCATCCCTTTGCCAGTGGGTGATTCAGGCCATTGTTGTATTTGGGGAAACATAATCTGTAAATTTTATTAATTGAAATGCTAAGTTCTTAAAAGTTCATTTACGATTTGATTAATTAAAATGCTATTTTCTTAAAAGGTTACGAGTATTTATAAGATTCCTAGAATTAACGCGAAACATTTTAATAGTGTTTTCTTTGTAGTTATTGTTTCAAGTAAAATTTTAATTACTTCGTCGTTATTTTTGGAGCGAAGTTCTTTTTCGGACGGTACAAACTTGGCGAATGGGGGCTAGTAGAAAAAAAAGTGTAAGATTATTCAGTCACAACCGTCATGTGTTTCGTAGCTTATTGTGTGTAGTTGTGTTCTTAAAATTATGCTTATTTTTAACTTCGTTCCAACCGAGTGTTCCATGATACTAACGTTTGCCTTATTTAATTTCAGCGTTCCAAAAAGCCTTCGCGTCATTGTCGACAGAAGTACCTCCATCGCACCCGGCAGCGGCCCATCTCCGGGTTCCTCGAGGACTAAAAGGTCCGCATCATATTTTCGAGTGCCGTCGTACCAACATTATGGGTTCTTTAGTACAGGATGCTTCACCGTTCCTTTTCCCCTGCACTATTGAGTATTCACTCATATGCGCCGCTATCTTATATGTTATGTGGAAGAATATCTCCAAATACCCTTCAAAGGACGTCGCGGCCGCTATAGCAAAAGCCCGAATCCTCGAAGGCTTAGCCTACAAAAAGTCACCGCATCTTTACAGCGTCGATTGCGCACGAGCACACAAAGGATTGTTCTTCGGAATACTCGTCTTGGTTCTCACAATTATATCCCTGATACTATTCTTCGTCTTAGTATCCAGGAAAGAATATGCAACTTTAGCTGTGGTCGAAGTGAACGTATGCGAGTTGGTGTTATACGCGATGACTACTTTTGCCAGTTTAGCTGGAATGGTTTGTGTAAGAAAATTGAAATATGATGGAAACAGAAACTTGGAACTCGACAATATCCTCCTTGTTGGAGCGCAGACGGGAATGTTCATCTACGGAACTTTCACTATAATTGGTGGGCATTTTACTATAGAGAAGAACACTATCCTAATTCTGATCACAGCTCTCTCGTCTTTAGTGCAAACCACTTGTCAGACGATGTTTATTTTAGATGCGAGTCGCAGATCTGCTAAAACTCCAGAACAATTAAGGAAGAAACCTGGAAGAGAGATAGTAACGTTTCTTTTAGTAACGAACTTGGCTATGTGGGCTATTAATACTTTGGAGAAATCCCGAGCGGAATCTCATCCTGTACAATTGCATTTCTACGGGCTCTGGGCTTGGACTATAATAACACACGTTTCGATGCCTTTAGCGATCTTCTATAGATTCCACTCGACCGTTTGCCTCTGTGAGATCTGGAAGCGGGCTTATAAGATGAAACCTGCTTATATGTAGCGACTGGCCCATCGGTACTGAAGTGCTTGGAATTGGGATGATGATACGGTAACGTAAACGAAATTCCCATTAGTCCATCAGTTGGATTCTCAAGAATAATGTACACTTATTTTTCCTTTTGTCAATCAACCAAAAATTTAAAAGGCGAAGCGCGTCAAAGTTTGGGAAGGGCAGCTCGTGGCGTCACTTCTAAGTAAAAAATGTATCAAGACGTAATGTCATGTGACATTTCAAATCAATATATCTCTGTAATATTTTGATTATGTGAATAAAGAAAAATACGTGTACAATAGTTTTTGATAATGTACCTGATAGACGAAGAAAAAAAAAGTCATCATCTTTATTCTCACATGAACATTGACAAAATAGTGGCGTAATTATTTATAGTGCCATAGAAACGATGAAAGAGTAGTTGGGTAACTTTAAATGTTTAAAAATGCGGGCTTCAGTCTCGAGAATGAGAACAGTAATATATAAATAACAATCATGTTAATAAAAACGTTCCAAAAAGGAACTAAAAATTTTTTATCAACATCTCATATTCAACGTGCACTTTTATTCACATTAGTTTCCAAGTTGACTGCTGTAACGTTAAGTTATTGTATTTAAAATATTTTAATATGTTATTTATTTGTAGCTTTATCGAACGCTTTAACTATCATAGCGACACTGGTTCGTTAGGTACTAACTACGATTTAGTATCACAGTATTTCTCAAATAAACGGGTTGGATTTTATTTATTTAGCGCTTAATGTTTAGAAGTTAATTTAATAGCGATCTTAGGGGTTATTGTTAAAACTATCTATCTTTAGAATATCATAATTTATTGTGTTCATATTTTCACTTTGTTTTAGTGTAAGTACATAAGTATAGAGAGTAGATATTAGAAGATAACAACTTACTAGTAATTTGCATCAACATTCCACTTTTTGCGAAATTTTCACCATTGCTGCATACATTTCTTGTAACTTTATTCAATACAAATGTCTTCCATTAGGTTATACGTTTCGTTACAGTAGTGTTTCATACACATTTCTTTATTTTACACTTAAACATGAGCTTTTCTTAGATTACTTTTAAAATTAACATCGGGAACAATAACCAATGTGTGTAATCGTATTTTTTTGAAGATTTTTAAGTGAAAACTTTTTAATTATAAATTATTGCAATAAGATACATTTTACTATGAATGAGAAAAGGATCATAGTCTGAGCAGAAATTAGAGATTTTGTAGCGATATTTTTATGGAAAAAATGTAGTGTCAGTATTTTGGATAAAAATTTTAACAGTAGCAATACTAACATACCGAGGACCCAGTAGTTAGGCAAAAGGAGACACCAAAGTTTTATATGAGTAGGTGATTTTTGGAGCTTATTGACAGTATAGAGTCCAGTGGAATTATTCCTTAGAATGTTAGAACTCCTTTAGTGAGTGAACGCTGAATTGATTATGATCACTGATCGATAGACTTAGCTATTTCGTCCAGAAAATATTTTAATTCGTGTACAAATCTCAAAAACACCAATTCTAGGTAATTGATGACAATGTTCCAAATACGCGATCGCAATTACGGAGTGAAGTGGTAACCATTCAAATAAGTAACCAAAGGATATGTTTCATATTTGTATGGGGCTTGGGCTAGGTCTTGTACATAATGTACAAATAAAAAAAATCAAGAACATAAGCGACTCAGATAATTAAAATTTCCATATTTTGCTATATTTAACGGTACAGTTTTTTTTATAATTAACTTTGACATTCAAAGTCTACAATATCGAACATAGATGTCAACGTCAGTTTAGGGGTACAACAAGTCTAGAAAACTTAATGCCACTGGTGTCGATTATGGCGTGATTCTCTAAACTTAAAACTAAATTTAACATCAGTCTCTCCTTTTAATTCTTTATAGAGAATGACAAGGATGCACTGTTGTCAAATTTAAGTTTAGCTTTAGGGAATCATGTCAGAATCGACATCATAGTCAGTCAAGTGTCAACAGTTCAGAAATGCAATAACATCACAGTACTCAACAAAATCTTTCTAAGTACTCTTTTACTTACTATATAAATAAAAAATATTACCTTTTTATATTTTTTGAGCTACTACTATTAAATATTTTGAACTTACTATGTTTCCATTACCAATATTACCACATACTTAATATAGGCATTGGCAAAATCACCGCATTATACTTCATTGTACCAATAAATTAGACAAAGAAACTAATTATTAACATTTTTCTGGGAATGCTTATTGTTTATCCCATTTTTTAGGAATGTGTACATAGACCTGACCCAAAATGAAACATCTCCTATATTGCAAATATTGCAAAATAAATATGTAACCAAAATTTTGAAAATATTCATCAGCCTAATAGGGATAGGGACTTACTTTTTTATTTTCAAAATGTGATAACTATGCGACAAAAAGAGACAGAACCATCGACAAATGAAAAGAGTCGATAGAGTCTGTGCGGAAAGAGAATGGGCGTGGCGAAAAACGGAACTCACATTAAGATTTTTCAAACCCAGTAATCTGTAAATCGTCAAAGTTTTGTATTGATACGGATTTGTTTGTTGTTGTGATTTCTTGCGGTTTTTTGTATTTAATCATGTCTAAAAGGGGTAAACCTTACAAATACGGTAGAAAAGCACTACAGCGCCCTCTAATCTAAATCCCTGTTTCTTTCCGCACAGACTCTACCTTGTGCAAGTCAGAGTTATCTAAAGACCGAACAAGAAGACTATATTCTACTAAAAATTGCAAAAAAATCACTTATTTCTCGGGTATTATATGCTGATATTCCTAATAGGATATGTCAGGTTTATATTTTATTCTGTTCCTAACGCTTTAACTGCATAATTATTACGTTTTTAATAAAGTGCTAATTATTAAAAGTTCCTTAAATTGTAATTTGTTAATTAATTGTCGAGATTAAGAAAACGTGGTTACTTATTTGTGGTCGTACTGTGCAATAAGGCTTATTTCGTTTTATTAGATAGCCTTCGAAGAAATTATTATATTTATTTTACAACAATAATAAATAAAATATTATATCATGTATTGCTCAAATTTTAACAGAACGGCTTTGATATGAACTGGCGCCTATTTATTAAGTAGCGTTTTTAGAATATTTTAATGAGTTTCAGTTACTTAGCGTTAAGATTGTTTTTGTATGTAAAAATTAAAATAACATTTACGTAATGAATCCTAACAGAACAAGGGCCCCAATTTCTGGAGAGGTTTCAGATAACGAAAGAATGATAAATTTACAATATACGAGTAGGTATAGAACTTTATACATCTATTGTAATGTAAAAGATTTCACCTTATACTCCATTGTATCATGATTAGGTTACATTTCAATACTCAACTATGACAACTTAGCTTTAAATAATAATATGGAATACCAAATTTTAAAATGTAATGAATTAGCTTGTGATGAGTGAATGCGAAAATAGGCGTTATTACTGAAATAACTTTTCCATTGCCATATGCATAGTGTAGTATCAGGGAAGTACAATTATTAATGTAGTGGTTATTATAACACGATCAATTAATAAATGGCATTGAAACTGGCATTGCTTAACGCAGGCGGATTGTAGTTTTTACCGCTACATTCCAGCTAGCTATATTGAAAGTAGGACCAATTACTAATATGGTGGGTCGACAATACGCCGGACTGCTTTATAACTAAATAATGGTAACTTCTTCATGTTATTCAATACGGCTAGTCGTAAAGTATTTAAGCAAGGCAAAGCGATACTTTGGCAATACTTGGTACACACTCGTGGAGCAGTCGGTCACAGCAAATACAACAAATATTTTTTAACTGTTCAACTACGTGCCATTTTCCTTATTTAATTTTTTTATAATCTTTGTAAATCTTCTGAATTGTAAATCTATTGTGAATTTGATTAAATGGGGCTAAACTTCGGCAGTCGTATTGTTTTGATCATATTGCAATAATACGGCTTCGCTTTTTTAAAGCTAGTCAGTATGTTAACGGATAAATCTCAAACTAAACATCAGGCCCACCCAAAAAAAAACTTGCCCACATCATTATTTTACTTGAATGCCACCCTTTGATTGATCGAGTTATAAGTATCTATCCTCAATACTTCCATTTCTTGATTGCGGCAACAGATGGTCAGCATCGTATGAGATGAAAATTTGCAATGCATCCTTATTTTAATTCTTTTCGGTTTATAGAATACTCAATAAATATCAATGACAGATTACAAACCCTTTGGCAAGTATTAACTAAATAGGTCATTACAGTACAGGAAGCATATGATAAAATAAAAATATGAAGAGATCAGTTAGCCATTCTCCTTTTTCCGATTTCATAAAATAGCTCAATTTTAATTTGAGAATTTGCCATAGATTGTTCTAGTAAAAGTTTTGTAAGGGGAAATACTTAAATAATCCTCAAATAAAATATCACCTAGAAATACAATTGGTAACCTAAAATGTCAGGTTAGGTTACGATTTGTATTTTTTTGAGGTACAATCAATATTTTTTTGATAATTATTTAAATATGTGCTGTTTTTAATTACCTGTTATTTTGGAAACTATTAATTGTAGATAAAATAATTCTACCAAAACCTTTTCTGAGAACCATGACAAAACTTTTGCATGTAAGTATGTATAATAAAAAATAATACTTAATTTATAATTTTTGCCAAAATGTTGTAGTTTTTATCAATAAGCCTATCGAGTTGTATTTCTATTTGTTGTTGATTCTGAACTTCTAATTATTTTACACCATGTTAATTATCACCTAAAAATACAATTCATAACCTAAAATTTTAGGTTAAGTTACGATTTGAATTTTTTTGAGGTACAATCAATATTTTTTTGATAATCAGTTAAATATGTGCTGTTTTTAATTACCTGTTATTTTGGAAACTATTAATTGTAGATAAAAGAATTCAACGAAAACCTTTTCTGAGAACCATGACAAACTTTTTGCATGTAAGTATGTATAATTAAAAAATAATACTTAATTTATAACTTTTGCCAAAATGTTGTAGAGTTTTTATCAATAAGCCTATGGAGTTGTATTTCTATTTATTGTCGATTCTGAATTACTAATTATTTTACACAATTAAATTACCTAAATCAATTTGTTTTCCCTTTACAGCAAGTAAGTAACTGAGTACTTTTTAAAATATGATATTAATAAGATATTTGGTAAAAGGAACTTTGTACTACGAGCCGCCAGATAATATAAAAAGTTGTGTAATTTGTCATTTTATTTTAACAATAAACTGGTTAATAAAAATTCTCAAAATTTATATCTTAAGAAAATTAAGGTATAAATCTAAATGAATAATTTTATTTTAAATAAATATATTGGCTCAGGTTGACTGAAACCAGCGTTTTCCACATATCGGGCGAAGCATTACCCGCTATGCTGCATAAATAAATACTTGAGCATCGACCAAAGACAAAAAGCTATTTTTACATATAAAAACTCCTACTGTGCAAGTTTATTTGGCTATGGTTTTGCTGAAAAAGTTAGCCGCTACCTAACCCTTTCTGTAACATTTATATCTCTCTTAAAACTGTGGGGTGGATAAGGATGAAATTCTGATATACTATGCGCTACACTAACACACAATCTTTACTTTTTCTTTAACTACTATACAAGGACAATCCAATAATTCTGATTGGAAGTAATGGAGTAACTCAAAAACGCAATCAAAATAAGTGTCATCAAATAAACATAACCTAGTTGATAAAGATAACTTGTAAGGAAGATGTTCAGAATCGACGCTGGCTGTTGCATTGTAGTTTTATAAATTATGTAAATAGTTTATCATTAAAATCATATTGTTTGCAATGTATTTTTATTATTAGTTAAACCTACGCATTATTAAAATACCAAATGATATTTGTTATTCTTATGACGTTTAGGAATATTTTACAGCGTTTTTGAATATTTTTAATACAGCTTAGAATTGTAAAATAATAGTGATATTAGAGTAAAGTTTTAACTATATATATATTTGTGAACTATTTATTTGGTTAGGCGAGACTGTGGATAGCTCTAAAATTGTCTTCTTGGATGTTTAAAGTTATAAAGCGAATAAACTCTTCTTGAAACTAAGTTTCTGTGTTTTTATTATAGAATAATACTAAACAGTGACTCAGCGTCTATGAATATATGTTTAATTTTATGCTTTAAATTAAACTACTTGAATTATACAGGGAGTTAAGTACCATAAGAAATTTTTACTAAAAACATTCACTTGGCTCCTAAAAAATACTCTCAGGTATATGCTGGATTCAAATCAGCGTCTTCCACTATCCGGGCGCATGCATTAACCCGCAGCTGAGACCCTTATTGAACTTGTCTAATTCTTTCTACCTTTTGGCGGCAATAATGCAAGTAATGTACAATAGGTGCATATGACTGACCCTGATTTCGCTAAAACTTGTGTTTTAGCTGATATAGCTAGGGCACAGGCCTTCCCTATAAATGGAATAGAGAGAATCACAAAAATTACTCAAGTTTTTTTTATATTGAGTCACGAGGACCATCCGCGGATTGGTACCCAGCAATCCATTCCTTAGCACCCGGCTAATGACTGCAGATACAACCGTAACCAACGACTTAACGCGCCCACGTACTTACACTTCCAAAACTCAGAGATGCTCGAGATAATAAGTTTTTGGTCATGCGGTCATTCATGACCAGCTTTTGCGAAATAAACTTGCACGATCACAGACAGAACGCGTTATCCTTTGCCTTTACTCACTACGACACATCACACTAAAGAACACTGTTCATCAGTCTATTAATGTCCCCACTAGAAGAGTAAATGCCTTCCCTATGATAGACTGTGTCGTGCGTGAGCCACCACACGTGAAGCGGG